CATCCTCTGGGGGGTTTACACTAAAGGAAAGAGTAAACATTACCATGTGACAAAGGGTAGGCCAGAAGAATACACTCTCTGTAGGAGGGTAAAGCACAGAGTAGATGATGCGTTACTCCCTAGAAAAGGGTTCCGTTTAAGATTTACCCTTTCAAAGAGTGTAACCCAAAAAATGTTACACTCTAGACAAGAGTAAATCAAAAGAGTTTACCATTCAGAAGATGGTAAAAAACGTCTGTGTGTCATGTTACCCCTCCCTGGCGAGTTTACTCTTCATGAAAGAGTAAAATTTACCATCTGGAAGGTGGTAAAAAACGTCTGTGTGTCAAGCTACCATGCTATGGCGGGTTTACCCTTCAGGAAATGGTAAAAAAGTTTTCAGTGCGGGTGTCTCGGTCTCATGAGTTAATTGGTCCGGTCATCCTCCGGCTAGGGATGGCACAGTTTATGACCGGCTGGTCAACCGACCGCTGAAGGAACAATCGACTAAGGTGGGGACAGCACAATGAGAGGAGGGCAGAGGGAACCGCCTGCCTGACGCCTGTGTGGATAGCCCATAAATAAATGTTCGGGGGAGTAAGACCCATTTCCAGCATCCTCGCTAGTGGCTTAGTGAATGTCAATGGTTCAACGAAGCCGATCCAGAGCCGACAACGGAGCCGACTTGATCAAAATCTCGTCGTGCTCTGAGGTGGGCATTGCAAGTCGACTTTCGAGACTCGTAGAGTCTATGCATATGCTATGGATGCTTGGGACGGTGCCCGTTTGCCCGTCTATCCTTCTGTTCGTCAGCCTGTCTGTCCATCTGTTCGTCTATCCGTCCGTCTGTCTTCCCGCCTATCCATAGTTATGCCGACCTATCTACCCACCCACTCTGAATTTCCATTTGCCCATCTGCCCATCCTCTGTGCGCCCGTCTCCCCGGTCACCATCCTGGGGTCAAACTAAGGTCTCCCTGGGCGTCCCACCACAAACTCCTGACAGCACTCCTGTCCAGACCGCAGCGTCTCTCAGTAAACACATCACCCTCGATCGACCACCGGCAGAGCACACACCGACGCCAGTCCGTGCCCTCCCAGCGCCCAAATACGGACCGACGCCGCTGTATCGCGCATATCTCCCACACCAGCACTGACACCGGTATGGCGGAGAGGACCTCAGAATCGTGACCGGTCACAATTCACCGGGAATTATACAGGTGACACGTACTGTGCGGTCCCTTCTGGGCTGGAATGATATATCATCACCTAGCTGTTTCAAGTAAAATGTGGATCGATAATGCCGTTTCTTTATATTTTTATTCGCCAGTCTTACCTACCTTCGATTTTGAGCCACCCTTAATATCAAGAGCACTCCAGCCAATCCACTCAAATCATACGTTTTATGTGTTTAATTTACCCAGTAGCACCTGTTTCCTCGGAAACACGCACAGCATCACCATAGAAACACCTGTGGGTAGATGCGGCGCGGCGCCTACCAACCCTTCAGACGGGGGGTATTTAACAACCCCTGAAACACACCGCACGCACCAAATTGACATAATTATACGTTTATCAATTAGCGGCCCCCATAAACGTCATCTTGGGAGGTAAATAAGACAGCGCCGACTGGGGGACGCTGCTGTTGAGCCGACTCATCAAAGGGCGCCGCCAGACCACGCGACTAATTGTGATGAAGTCTGCAAAATTGCGGTGCTCAAGTCTCGGCCTAACAGCGGCAGCCGGTGAGAAACAGCTATGGCATACACCTGAGTCGCTCTCAGCGCGGTCCATAGACACGCCTGAGAGACAATTTCCAGAATTATCACGACGGACGGGTCGCCGGGGGGCGAGCTCCAGCACTCTCAGAGACGGTCATACCACGCCCCGGGGTGATGGGACCCTGACGAGATCCACTTACTGGAACACTGGAAACGACCCACGGCACTGATTACCGCCGCCCAGAGTCGGAAACGGAGCGGGGAGATGAACTGGTCCGGAGATACTGTCGCTATCAGGTGGATATATGGTAGAACCCTTTCTGGCTGGGTCGAAGCGGGATGAATGGCTCGGCGCGGGGCCGTAGACGGGTCGAGCTCCGGTGTGGCTAATTGACGTATCGTGTAGCGGCCCGAGGACCTACTTTAGCCGCGGTGACGTATGGGTCGCAGATCAAGGCCGGCCGACCAAATCTCCCTCTCAGACACGCGCTGTGATGGCATTCTCACGTAAAGTGTCTGTACTTTCGCCTCCCCGGTCACGTCTTGAATTACACTACGAGCTCTCTTTCCCAACGGGCATGACGCCAGCCATAGAAAGCTCGAATTGTTTCCCCCGAAAAAAATAAAGACCTTTTATCGTTCGTCACTTCATAAATGAGGGGCAGTACTATTTTTAGGGCAAACACACATTTGAAAACCAAACACACAAACTAGCAGCCAAAAACACCTGAGACGTCTTCAAGCGTCCTTAGCGAGCTCAGAGTAACAATTGACGGACAGGTTTGACTGTTCTGATTGTTTCGGGATGATCCGGTTGCCATGGCTACGGTCAGTGTCCGACAGCCAGCGTGTCTCCCAAACAGGCCGGGTACATACGTGGGACTATCCCGGAGGATCGTGCCGGTAAGGATCCCTTTATCCTCCGGTGATCGGGTTAAAGCCGGTAACTGAGTCCTGAATGAACTGCGAGACGCCCGACCGACTCATAAATTGGGATGGGACCCAGGAACAAAAGGATGGACAGGAAGGTTCGGACCGACCGCAGACTCTTGCCTCAGCCTTGAGGGATGTCAGGGTTCACAGGTCCCTCAGCCTAAAACGGTGTTTTTATTGACTTCACTGTGTCCGAGAAGTGAGTTTTCGTCAAAAATTACCATTTAAAAGACTGGATGGAGAGTTGGAATGTACCCTTTTCTGGCATGAATATGGTTTCACACATTTACATAGATGTATGTTTGTTTACTCAACATATAAGCTTAGACATATTTGACTTGAAACCTAGCCAAGTAGGTAGCCCTAAACCAACAAGCGACCAAAGATAAATAATTTCAAATGCGAATATAAATGAGCTCGCCCGGCGCCAGGGATGGGGATGCGTGTGACCGTTGAAGGAGATCTGTAGACGGCGACCAGCCGGAGGGAGGGGGTCCGAGGGCCGTTGGATGTAGATCTACGACCTGCCGTCCAGCGTCACGACCGTTGGAGGGGGTATCTTTGGACCTCCGGCCGGCGTCTGAGACCTTTCCCAGGGGGAGGGCGGCTCAGCAGCGCGCCAGCTCCCTGTGATCTTGTACAGTAGCCGACGCGTTTTTCTCCGCCACCCAGATGTGTATCTCCCGACGGCAGACACGCAAAAAGCCACTCAATGCAGAGTAGACACAGGAACACTTCAAACAGCGATTATTCAGCACCAAAAGGACCGATCTTTGGCCGTTTTTCTGTGTGGTACATTCAACAAACACTTATGGACAGGGAAAACGTTTTTGTAGACCATCAATTTTAGACACAACGGTCGAGTTTATCCCGACTTCAAGTTTATTTGAAACCATGAAAAATATGAACATGGGAATCGACCACCACCGCTATTGATAATATTTTTAGGCTATCAAAATTCATCAATTCTCAAAATGTTCTGACTGACCAGAGCGATAGAAAAAAGAACTTTTCTTTGTATCTACTATTTGCATAGTTGTGCGGACCGGACCAAACAGAACAGGCCACTCGAAACTTGAAAACGTTTTATGACAGAAAGCTATCATTTTTTTTCATAATTCGAGCCAGTCGTAACTTGAAATCTTAGCAAGCGTTTGAATCACTTGCTAAGATTGAGTTAACATTACAAGTGCAGACTTGCAATTGTGCATGGATCCGGGTGATGGATCTATGATCTCAGTGGATCTCGAAGCAAACTGCAAGTTTTGATATATGATCCCACCGGATTTCGCGTGAAAATATATCCTAGACCTATGATCTCATAGGATCTGACGATAAATAAAAAACATGGATCTATTATCCGAGTGGATCCCACCATGCACCACATTTTAAACCATGTTTCAATGTCAATAAGTGCCACAAATCTAAGAATTATGACGGGCAATGACATACAATTAATAAAGCAGTACTTCTGTGAGCTGCAACGAGTGATTCTTTTACGATCTCTGCGTTGACAAAAATAAGTGAAGGTCTATGATCTTACTGTATCTCAATCAAAAATATACCCGGAGCTATGATCCCAATGGATTGCTCGATAAATTTGAGAGTTGGACCTGTGATTCCATCGGATCCGAGATCAGGATCCATGAGATCAGATTCCAGATCCATTTTCTTGGATCCATGCACAAAGTGCAGATGTCTAGTTATCACATTCTTCGGTTGCACAGCATTGGTTGAATTTATTTGCTTTGGTCTTTGATAAAATCATTTCCGTACGCAGAGTCCATGAAGACGATGAATAATTATCGTTTTAAAACAAGGCATCTGAATGGCATTACTTTTCACCGTCTTGTTTCTTCAGTTATGGGTTTGAGTCTTACATGTCAGACAAAACGTCTATTTAATGCATCATGGTAAGAGGATAGCATTTCTAAACAAGATGAAAATATGAAATTAACAACCAAAAATTAACCCGAATACTTGTCGCCCACAGTCAGTCTCGAGACCATGTGCTTTCAAGTCACCCGAGAGCCGTGACCGATGAAAAAGGTCGGACTCTCCATTCCCTTAGCATGATGTGCTGACGTTTACCTCAGACACGGTTGAAATATGTTTGTTTTCCTGTCTAGACTCCTATCACGCTAGTTATTCGTCACCGTATGCGAGCAACAGAAAACTAGGAGATTGGTGCTATACACAATATCGCGTTGCAGTCTACGGCGAGTGTTATACGCCCATGCGGAGTTGCAGTCCATCCATATCCCAATTACAGTGATTCCGCCGCTCAGTCGCTGATTGGTCGACCGTCGGCGGCGCGCGCTCTGATTGGCCGCACGGTGTCGGCGCGGCGCCTGCCTCCGCGTGGAGATGATCTCGGTCGGTCTCGCCGTCAGTTTCCCGGCAAACGCTGCTCGGGGAGGCGGGAATCGAGGAGGCCGTGAGGGTGCCAGACTTGTGAAGGCAGAGGAGTGTATCGAGCCATCAACAATGCAGTGTACCGGACTATTACCAGAAGTCGCGCTGAAGGCTGCCGTCCCGCCGCCCAGCCCGGCGACCCTTCTTCACCGCACCATCCAGCGCCGGCTGACCCTGGGTCAGGTCACCGCCGGTCGTCGCGCCCGACGCAGGCTCTTCTCTGCTGTCGATGCCGACGATGTGAGCCGCTTCGTGAAGCGAGAGCTGGCGGCCATCCGGGCCGCCGACCGGCGCCGCTACAACTTCGACTTTGATCGGATGGAGCCGCTGGAGGGCCGGTTCCAGTGGGAGAGGGTGGGCGGCTGTCCGAGCCCCTGTGAGAACACCCCTCTGCACCGATCGGCCAGGAGGCTGCAGCTCGACTGTCCCCAAGGAGAGCCCACCGACGGCCTGGACAGCGCGCGGTCACCCCTCACCTGCCCCGGAAAACACAGGATCGGTTTCCAGTCGGTGGACGACACCCCGGCCAAACCACTGCCGGAGGCGTCTCAGCTCAACTGCTGCCAAAGTGAAGCTAGTTCCATTCGCTCCAGAGCTGCCAGCGAAGGTGTGACCTGCAGCCGTCTGAAGCAAGCTGTCCTCACAGGTGAGAGCTCGCAGGTGCTGAGTTAGTCTTTCGTTTTTCCTTTAATCTCTAACAAATCATTTAAGAAATAATCGTAAATTTGTTACACCAATTCATAAATCAATTTCTACCGCCCCGTTCATTCCACGTATCATTTCGAGCCGTCCGAGACAACTGTTCGGTGGACCCGTCCCTGTCATCGCTTCCTTTCTCCGGCCTTCGACCCTGATCGGCCACGAGGCAGCCGCCACCACGCACCGCCGTTAAATGCCCGCGCCGCACCACCTGCTCCTCTGCTCTGCCCGCCGCCTCCGCGCCTCTACCCGGCGTCCCCTCCTCGGCGGCAACATTCCAGGCGGGAGTAAACAGTAAACAGGCGCCGGATCGGGGGAGGGGAGGGGGAGGGGGCGACGGCCGAGGGACGCCGCCGGCCAGCTAGGAAGGCCCGCAGACAGTCGGAAAGGCACACACAGCCGACTGTCACCAGCTAATGGATCCAGTGACGGTGCAGAGAGACACGACACGGAACACAGATATAATTAGCCGATTGGATCGAGACGTGCTCTAGCTTCATTCGGTCATCTTTTGTTGTGATACCAATATTTGAGATGCTTGAGCATTTCATAGGGCACTACCAATAATTATTAAAGCAATGCTCGGAGACGCGTGATGCGAGTCGGTGTGTGCCTCCATGGAGCGTGTTGGTAATTTATTTACCTTACAACGGCTCCTCGGAGCAGACACGCAGGTACCATCAGATTGTTGTGTCCGTCCAGTTTTTAGTCGCGTCTGATCCCGTTTCCTGTCCGATACAGCTCACAATGGCCAGGCGACCGTTGGGGACGTCCTCCAGCCTTGGGATAGCCGGTCGGTGGCCATTCGACACCCGATTTTTATGAGCTCGTGAACCCGATCCGCCGCCGCTGGAGGCGGCCTCTTGTGTCGCGCCGACCGGTCATGGGCGGGCTGAGCGCGGCGCCTGTCCCGGCTCAGCTTTGATTGGCCTGACAGGCCGCTGACAGGCCGGCAAAAATGTGGGTCAACACGGCCGCCACAGGGACGACGCGACCGGCGTTTTTAACGGACCTTTTTTGAGCCGTTTATAGCACATGGTCGCGTCGAGTTCTTTGACACCGTTGACAGGCGGACGTCTAAATCGATCCCTCACTTCTTTGTCTCGGATGGCACGGAAACCCAATATCCTTCCCCGCGTGTCCGAGTTTTCGGCCGTTACTCCACAAAACCGGCATAGTAAAACGCCTTGAAGCGGACTCGAAGCGGCGTGTAATACATTTGAAGCATCTCTTACAGAGCAATTCACTTCGATAATTACACCGCTTGTAAAGAAAATAACTTAAACGTGTCTGGTACACTCATCAGCGGCGAAACATGTACGCGGATCCCACAAAACAGGCAGTCGGGGCATTAAAGTGAAAGCACTTCCGCCGCAGCTCGCATCTCGCGGTCGACAAAAACGTTTGTTTTTCGCCAGATGTGCTGCTCAGCAGGCATTACCAGGAGTGTGTGCGTGTTTTTAATGAGGCGGCGGACGCGGCCGTTGGACACCTGCCGCCCCGGGGCTCAGACCTCTCACCGGGAGATGCAGATACAGATCGGCCGCCGGGTCGGGAGCAGAGCTCTCCAGAAACATTGCGTCCTACACTCCGATTGACCAATTATATGATCCTTATCTCTTGCTTGTTACCTCGACTGCAGCTGCTGTCAGCTCATCAAAAACCGGCATCCGTGTAAGTGTCAGCAGTGGTTCATGCTATAAAACGTGTGTACTTTCTCCATCCCTGACAACATGCTAACCCACTATCTCTTCTGTTGCAGACCTCTGGCAGACGCGAAAGCGTGCCGGCGTGTGGGTCAATGCTGAGGAACCACCAAAGAAACGCGTCTCGTCCTCACTTCAGCCACCGGCCCCCGGAGCTCTCAACGTAGCGCTTTCAGAGGAGAGGAACCCGGCACCTAGCCGACAGTCGGTACTTAGCGAGCTACAGGATGAGCAGCTGCTCTCATAGTCAACATGTGATCAATCCTAAGGCCAAACGTGAACAGCAGATAAAAGACACGTCCGACGACGATGACGAAAACCAATGAACCGTTATCTGTGCACAAATGTGAAATTGCACAGGTGTTGAACCCGAGTTGCCATTGATTAGCTGCCAATGTTGATGTTGAGTGAGGCTGCAGCCGTTGCGTTGCGGTGCATGTAGAACAATGCCGTTATGATGACCATGAGGTGACTTCAGGTGGTCAGTGTAGGATGACGACGGCTCGCTGCCGACTTTGGTGGATGTCTTTTGTCGCCCTTTCTGAAGTGTATGTGTCAGCATGCCTCTGAAGTGCTGTGCGTTATAAGGTGGGCCGGTGTTTTCATGACATTATTACTGCTTTGTTCCTGTTTTGGGAGGGTGCCAGCGTGACATATTGCATTTGTATTATATTGACAGCAATAAACATGACAAATCAAAACCGTCAAACTTTTCCAGCACGAGGGATTCAAACGTCTATTTGTAGGTAGCGTCTAATGGCATATCGAGCAATGTTCAGGCGTAGCGATTGAAGTTTTTTTTTTCCCCCAGATACAGGCGACTTCCCTGATTTATAACAGTTTCGTAACTTCAGTTTCTGTTTATCAAAATGCACGGCAGCAATTAAGACGCCGAATGATTTATCAGCATTCTTTGTTATTCAAAACATGCAGACGTCCGACGTCAGACAACTTTAACAGAGACTGAACGCGCTTGTCGTTGGCCACAAAGCACGCACAAACAAAAAGCTGGATTGGACGCCGCTTCCTGAATGCAGTCCGGGCTTGGGGCGTGGGTCAGACGCATTCCTGCGCCGGGTCATCCGTGAAATAAATAACACAGTGGTGTGAAGCGGCATTCGCTGCGGGCCCAGCACCCCTGTGATTAATTTGTATCGAGCCACCCAGTTAACTTGATTTATACCACGGCCCGACCTTTAATAAGGGCCGGCTAATTCCTCGATCGGGCCACTATTAAATGACCCCTCCGCGGGCAGCGACTGGGATTGGTGTGTGATGGGACCATCAGTTGGGGAGGGTGTGAGGGTGCTGGGGGGGGGGGGGTTCCTGGCACGCGTACCGAGGGTAACTGGCCTGCCAACGACCCGGCACAGCGGAGGGCGAACCCGAACCCGGCAGTAGCCCTTCCGCCCCGGGCCATGAACCGTTCACGCCTGGGCTCGATGCTGCCCTAAGCACGCGCCCATCAGCTCCACGAGCCTCTACGAGCGGGAGTCGGCTCCCAGACGTGGAGGATTTACGAGCGCCGATTCTCGCTGGGTTGTAAGGTGTCAGAGAAATACTGTTAATGGGACGATCACCCGAGGACACGGTCAGGTCTGCCGACAACAGACGCGTGTGGCCGCTACAAACGGTCGTCTCACCCGACACAAACAGCCCCTGAGGCCGATACTGGCGCACAAACAGCTGCACCTCTCGGCAGCGATAACTGGGCACGAGCGGCCACCGGCGCGTGCTGCGAGACAAACACGACGCGCCACTGTTGACCCGAGTCGATAGTACGGAGAGTATCGGCTTCTGGAGCAAACGCACAGCCTGAGTAAATAGCTCGAACTGCTCTTACAAATAGCTCCCTTTATCATGAGAGCTGATACTGCCAGCAGCTTGAGGTACATTAGGCGCTTCCAGAAGAAATTGGAAAACAATTTTGCTCGTTTAAACATAAATTCCCAAATAAGAATGCTCATAAAGTATAACTTGAACTTATTACTTGCGATGTATAATTATTTTGTAGACGAAGTGAAACATGAAACTACGTGGCAGCTGGCATAGGCATTGAGCTTGAACTTCGTGGAGTTGACCGCTGCCTTGTGCCTAGTGCCTATTGCCAACGAATCTTGAAATTTATTAACGGTGTCTCTAGAAACAGGCTTATTTGTTTTGCCAATGAGCACGAGCATAATGTGGTAGGCATTCGTAGCTTAATTTGTTGTTCATAGGCCAATCGTCACTGTTCAAAGGACCTCCCCAATTCAGGCCCACGGTGACGTTACCGGGGCGTTCAGCGCCGCCACATGGCACGTGCAGTCTGTGCCCCGTCGGCCCCATGTGACGGATGGGGCCATAGCTCCTGGCCGGGGCGACCGGTCACCACCGGGTCAGCCACGGTGGCGACTAGAGCCCGATACATCACTGGCAGCAGCAGACAGCTGTGGCAGCGAGCAGCGGCAGTGAAGCAGGTGACCTCAGGCCACCGCGGTGACGCCGACAGGCTCGGCACGGGCCACACACGCGGCACAGACCTCCCGCGGCCCCGTTAGGCCTTCCGTCACCCGAGAGTGACGCGTGGACAGGCCCCGTTACGGAGGTGACGGACCGCCGCGAAAACAGCCGTATCGGATGACCACACGCCGCTAGTGTCGCTGGCGCTATAACGGGACACACGGAGGTAGATTTAGCGGTGATAGCTGTCATATTTTTTTCACTTCATCTCCTTTAGGTGAGACATGTGTCAAGATAACAGTCCTTTTTTCCTTATTTTAATAAAATATCCCCTAAAATAAGAAAGTTACGTCTTATACGGTCGCCGTCATGGAGCGATTCCGCCCAATCACAAGCCTACCAGCCGTCTGCTTCATCCCCTCCAGATGTAACCGATCGCAACTTCCGTCGGCGGCAGCCATATGCTCTTTATGATCCATTCCACACTGCCGCAGCACGTGACAATCTGTCACCTTGGATAGATGAGGTCCAAAATCAAGAGGGTTGAATCACCGACCCCTTGCCGACCCGCGTCTCCACATCCCCAGTGAAGATACGGCACGACCGACCGCAGAACCCTCTGCGGTGTTGTTAGTCACCGGATACAGCGCGCCGGAACCTCCCGCGAGCCGGCTGGGAGGGAGCAGGACGGAAGGATGAGTGGGTCCTCCCCTCCCCTCCCGGTGACCCCCCATGCCGCCGTCGTCATGTCTCCCCTGAGTCGCGGAGGGGAGGGGAGGGGTCGCGGCAGGGGACACCTCCCCACCGAAAACGGCGACAACAGGTCCCCGAGAGGTACCCTCGGTGGAATGTGCTCTCCGCATGCCGCCTCAGTTCGTTGGATCAGATAGTGACTGTTTTCGGAGCACGCCAGGTCTGTATGTGAAACAGGGTACAGAGTTTCCAACAAAACAAAGGCTGGCTTGTTATCCGAGATCGGTATCTTTGAACGAACTCGTAACCCGTACTGCATGGTGCCATGCTAACTCTCCAAACCACTCTAGCTATTGAACTCTGCTCAGCAAACCGATCTGAACATCCGAGTAACATATGGGCGTCAGCCGTCGGAGGACGGACGACCAAATCTGTTCCGTCGCCGTCCGTTGATCTCCAGCACCCCCGGTTCACACGTCCTCACATTCGGCCCGTCAGTCTACTGATCCGATCACACTCGCGCGGCCATGCGTCAGGCTTTGGCGGCGGCCGGCGGACGCGTCGCCTTTCTCTCACTGTTTCTGCGGCTGCTCTCGCGGCTGCATCGCTGTGGGAAAAGTTCCCACGGCGGGTGATCAAAGGACGCCGACCGGGACCAACCGCGGACCGTGTATCTGTGCGTTTGTTCGTCTCTGTCTCTGTGGCTAATCCCCACGAGTTCGGCGGCCGTCCGCCGTCCACAGGCCGCCGACTCCGGCTGAAACAGCAGCTTCCGACGGCCGTCGTAACTCGTCACTTGTCCTGAAAAAGATGTAGGAAGTGCCGGAGCTGGAAACTCGCCACGGCCGATGGCGATGTCACCTCACTTCTCAGTTATTTGGCTACTTGATGACAAAGTATAAATACAAAAATGTAGGAGTAAGTCTCTCTACAAAAGGTACCTATTCCTAATTTTTCATTCAAATATTTACAATGACCCTATACGGCCTAAACCTACATAGTTGAAAATGAAATCAACTGAAATGTTGATTATAGCCTGCGTGAAGATCAACTGCATTCCGCGTAAAGATACCCCAGGGTGCCTATGGCTCTCGGCCACGTGGTGAGCCCTCCCCTCCCTCCCTCTTGCCCTCCCCTCCTTCGGCACACGCTGCTGTGTCTCGTGCCTGCCTCCCGCTCCGTTATCTGGCGGTGCTCTCTCCGAGTAAACACTGGGCACGCTCCCAGCCAGGGCCCGGTCTATAACCGGACCGGGTCGGATTCCGTCCACAGCCGCCGCAGACACACCACAGACACACTCCGGAGACGCTCCTGACTCAGCCACAGCTGCAGACGCTAAAACCAGACCCACGGAACGGTGCAGAAGCGGAAGAGGGTGGTGGTGAACACCTGGGTTAGGAGAGAGAGAGAGAGAGAGAGAGAGAGAGAGAGAGAGAGAGAGAGAGAGAGAGAGAGAGAGAGAGGTGGGAGCGAAGGGAAAGAAGAAATAAGAGATGCGACACCGTACGCTGACCCAACGCACCGTTACCTTTAGCTGTTAACGAGCGCAGCGAGACAATCAATGTAAATACTACCTACACGCCAATATGTTTCTACAACTACCGCCTAAGCAACTTGCTTTGACATATAAACTATTGATGCAAAGCTCGATAGATGAAAGAAGGTAGTAGTTAGTTGAAATTGCTGCATCACAACTACTTGTGCAACAAACACGCTGCCGCTGATGCTGCTGTTGTATGCATCCCTTCGCCGCCGCCCCAAGTTATTGCTGATCAATCGGGCGTCTGACTGGCTTCTGCAGCAGCTCAGCATTGGCCGAACGGCCACCAAGCACCGCGCACAAAACACCACTCATCTGATAGACAATGCGCCAGTGTTCCAAATTAATTTTATTCATCCCCGAGGCCAGGAACACCCAAACACACTGGCCAACAACAGGCGGCGCATTCTCGGCTGGCTCTGTGCGCGACGCGGCGGATCGCTACGCCAGCCGCTTATCTCGGCATCTAAATCAGCGGCATTCCTTGGCGGGCGGCGGCGGCGGCGCGGCGGCGCGGCGCGTGCCGCTGGCCGGCGTCACCTCTCATCCTCCGCCGCTGTCGGCGGCTGTCATCTCGACATTCCTCGGCGCTGTCGGCCGCCGGAGATGCCGGTTAAACCCGGTATCTCCCGCACCCCGACCACCCAGCACACCTACCTCAGGACAGACGCCGCATACGGCGTGTCACGCTGGGGAGAAATTCTCCGCCGAGAGCCGGCACTTACCTGGGAGAAACGGCCGCCGGCCTGAATTTTGATCCATTATGGATGTGCCGTTGTGTGTTTAGGCGGGTTTTATAGCCTGCTCGGTTTTGGAGAAATCTGAGGAATGCGTGTGTTTTACAAACAAGGCGTCGTTGAAGAGTTCCAAGTGGCGGTCTTGTTTGTAGTTTGCGCTGACGGGACATTGCCGTCGTCACGCGATACGGCGTTATTCCTGAGATCGGGTTACTGAGAGACGTAATGACACCTGCGCATACCACGCACGGCTCGGTGGCAGCGCGCGAGGACGCCCGCATATTGCACG